CTCAGATCCAGGCTGTCTGGGGATACGTTACACGAACTATATTCATTCGGTATTTCTTCAGTTATATATTTTAATGTATTTTTCTTACTGTATTTTAAAATGGCGATTGTCTCTATCCTGGGAGATAATTAGGTTTCTTCCTAATTATCTCCAGGGTAGAGAAGAAGGGTTTATTAGTAAGATGGGAAGGGCTTATATTGAAGCCACTGCGATTGGCTACTGTCCAATATGTTTTACAGTCTTCCACAAGGTCCCCTCGGGGAGTGTCCACCTTGTGGAGACCTGCATAAATACCGGGCAGGTAGCCCCCATTTAACAGATCCTTATTTGACCCTCAAGACGGAGCTTGGTCTCGTTTGTGGGGGAATTATTACTGGGACATCGCTTTCGTTATTTCTAGCTGTGGAAGGTGTTCGACTGTTTTGCTGATCGGGAGTTGCCGTGTTCGTGAACTTCGTTCGGGAGTTTGACGGTCGGCTGGATAGAAACTGCATTTCTGGAGAGTGGGATTATTCACTAAACGGCGGCTTCATCTACCTGGCGGTGAGCGTCGTAACACGCCCCTATACCTCCTGTAACCTTTTCTTTTGGAGGAGTGGTGATAGTATTCATTCTATTACCTCTCCCCCTTCTCTTATTTTCTAATTTAAGATAAGTAATCTTTAACCAATAACCAAAGAATAGGTATATTTTATAATATTAATATATGACTTTGATCTAAACTCAGGGTTTCATTATAAAATGTTGCATTCAATCCTCCATCCAAATTCTCAAATTGCTCTGGTTATTACCCTCCGTTTTTAAATACTGCGGACCTTTACTTACTGCAGTAATTGTGAAAGATTTGTACGAGACTGGAAAACTGGCAAAATATTTTTAAAATCTCATAAAATTTAGAGGCACTTGGAGACTTTGGGATGTATTTTGGTCATAAAACACAGAGGTGAGTTTACTTTCACGGGTGAAAACTGATATAGATAGGAATGGAAATGATTGAAAATAAAGAGTAAATATATATTTAAAACAGAACAAGATATTTAAAACAGTATGTGCACTGTGGGCATTAATTTAAATTATTGTAACACATCAACTCCTGAAGGAAACAGAAAATATTGACGTTAAAAACTAAGGGAGAATGTCAATGAAAGCATAATGAATATATTGTTTCTCTTTGCATACTGTGATAGATTATTATAATGAATCTGTTTTAACTAATGTTTTATTTTACACCCCACTGAAGGAATGCAATCATTTAGAAATGGTGATGTAAATGTCGATCTTTGCCATTGCATTTTTTTCACTGTCTCTGTGCAATACACGAAATGGCAGTGTTTGAAAAACCGCAACTAATTATTTTAAATCTACATCTGGGAAACTTGGAAAATATGTTTTTTTTATTGTTTAATTACTTTGTTAAACTCTTAAAAATCTTCATCCAACGAAATAAACCAATTGAATTTATTTTTAAAAAAGTGTTATTTTGCAATCATTTTTTTTTCTTTGAACCAGTAACGACAAAGAATTTAGCACAGTGATGTTATTGTAATAAAGAGGTACAATAAAATGCCTAACCCCCAACTTGTTTAGTCTAACAGCAATTAAACAGTGTCTTATTAAAATCTCAGAACACATAACTGTGACATGATACGTACAAACACATCCCACAGATTCTCAGTGCCAAGAGAAAAGTGACACTGGGATTTGGCAGCAAATCAAATTTGGCTGTAGCCACAAATAGTAAGGGGGTTACGTATAAGAGCAATTTGGGAGTAAAATGCGGAAAATAAAATGACCGACGGCACCATTCAGCTGGCTTGTGTGGTGATTGGTTTCCCAAGAGAGCTTTGCCTGACAAATATTTGATCACTATTGGTAATTCCCAGACTGAATTGATGAAAGAATAACTGGATTACTAATCAGCCACATTAGGGAACTGTTTAGGCAGTGTTAGTAGCATTAATTATAACTGTAGCTAGTCATATTTCAAGGTTGCATAAAATTACTCAATTTCAAAGGAAAATATGTGGATTTAGTTTCTTGAATTGTACAGACTGTGCTTAGCTGTAATAGAATTAAGACCATTCTGCCACAACCTTAAGGCAATGTGATTGGCTGGAACAAACCCGCTGATCTCACTGGATTTACAGTTGTTACACCAGGTGCGTTGCTACGTCCCAGAAACACCTGGTGCTTGAGCACAAGCCAAACTTGATAACTCCTATGCTAACACAGAGGTAGGAAAGGGCCGTGATATATTCTGGTTAGATTTGCCCAATCAGATCGGCTGAATTCAGTATCTTTGAAGAACCATACGGACGTATACCTGAGCAAATGACTAGCGCACTGACCAAACATTCAATATTCCCAATTCCGCCTATAACACCAAAAAAGGGACAATTGATGGTTAATTTGCATATTTATATATTTAACAAATATAAATATAATATACCTAAATATATAAATAAAGAATTTGTTTACTGCTCCTCCTGTCTTTCCCTTTATCGGATCCTTTTTCTCACTTCATCTGTGAACCAAATCACAGGAAAACGCTGCTGTCCGAGTACTGTGAATATATTATATTATGTATATATTTTCCAGTATACTGATTATCCTATTTTTACAGCCTTTTGGTTCATTTGATTAATTTCTGAACCATGTTTTCGTTACCAAAATTCTGCCGAGCCGAACCATAACATAGCAAAATGTGAACATCTCGAAAATGTTCTTTTTTCCTGAAAAATGCTTAGTCTGAACCGACTTTTCTCACTTTGCTCAAGTCTATTTACAGGCAAGATGTGCAGGAAGGGTATTTAATTATTGAGCTTTTTATTTCTAAGGGAGTGGGTTTGATTAACTCTAAAGAAAGTGGCCCAACGGATGCCATAGGTTTAGATATTACACAGGAACATTTTATGGGAAATTGGCAAAATAGATAAAACAGGACAAGACACCCCCCCTAGCACTATATGTTAGGGGGCAGCTGATGCTGGGGGACTGGGCATCCTACAGCAATATTTTAGAGCGTGGTGGCACAACTGATACCACAATCTGGACCTTTCACAACATTTTATGAGTGTTTTGCACTTTTGAGACAGGGCTGGTTTTGTGCATTCCTGTATTAGAGGAGGTTTGAAACTCACAATGATTTTTCTAAGTCCTTATTTCCAAGTATGGTTAAAAAGCACCTTTACACATTTTTCACCAAATGCACAGTTGTTAAGGCAATTTAGTGTCAGTCTGTTGTTTGATAAATATCTAAATCTCATACTATTCCACCACAACTTGACAGCTATTACTTGTATTTTACTAAAATCAGAGTGTTCACATGGGGTTTAAAAGATCTGTTCTAATCAAAGACACAGACACAGGCTCTGTATGTTACTCCCCAAGATTCTGCTTGTTCCCAGGATAGCTATTTGAAAAAGCTACAATGTCTATTATATCTGGATTGCTAGCACCAATTATAAACCAACTCAAACAGGATTTCAGCCCTTAGACTTGTACTCTTAACGTCCACAGTGTTTTATAAGAAAGCAAACTTGTAAAACTCCTAAAATATCTCAGGACTTACAGAGAGCCCCTTGCTTTCTATAGCATACTGTCTGCACATTTTCGGAATAATATTTGATTCTAGTTCAGTGGGGTTGATTTCATTGGCTAACAGAGAGTCTATTCTAAAAATTCCTCAACAGGATTTGTCTTTATGGTAAAATAGAAGAGTAATAAAAATTGAGTAGGTTTCAGAGGAGAGCTTTTAAATGGACTTTGCCCGTTTAGAAGTTAGGATTCTGTGATAGAATACCAAGAGGAAAACAAGCTACATTCAACATTCTGAGCAGGATCTTAGCAAGTTCACCGTTCACCTCCCTAATTACATATATACTGTATATACAAATTTATGTACAAGCACAAAGCTATATTTTATTTGTTTACTGTTTTATATTGTTAGGATCTAAAGGATTACTACAACCATAATAACAGTGCTTTCCTAAAAACATGTTTTTGTCAGAGTAACTCTTGCTCTGCTGGTCAACGATCCGAAAATGTAAAAAATAAAATCACTAAAATTCACCTATTTTCCACTTCCAGGGCCAAGTTTTTCCTTGACTGATCTGACTCAGCTCATAACACTCCTCCTTGCCAAAGTAGGATGGACGTCAGTTAGGAAAAGCAAAGGGCGACTCAGAGGGGGTTGGGGCATGTCGCCATTAGATGTCTGTCTGCCTCTAGCTGTGCATGCTGGTGTAATGTGCTACATTTTCCCATTGAACTCTTGTCTGGGCTGTCTAATAAAGCATCAATGACTCGGCCAGAGGTGCAGTTACACACCCAGCAGCAGAGGGGTTAAACTTTGTATTTGCAGCATTTCATAGAAAAATTCTTACCATACAGAATCCAGGCACCATGACAATTTAAACTCAGTGAAGTAGTCATGGTGCTTGGAGTAACACATGACTGCACAGATAATAACAGAGTCTTGTGACTAGAAAATCAATAAATTGCAAAGATTGCACCATGCACTCTATACATTCAAACCAAGTGCACCTAATATGTGTGGGAGCATATAAATAAATAATATAAATAATATAAACCCACCAGGGTGCGGGGCCGAACTGCAGAGCTGAGCGGCAGCAACCCTTAACAGCTCCTGCAAACAGCACCTAAAAAAGCTAGATAACCCTACTGAAATGGCACCTAAAAGTCAGATAAGGCCCACCAAGCGATGGGGGAAATTGGGACAAACAAAATGATGCATTTCCAGCGACAACCGACCCGACCTACGCCATACACACCGGTGAGACCTACTGGCTTGGCGGGCACGGGAGAGGCAGCCGCTCTCCTGCTGCCAGGACCAGAGGGAAACCAGACTCAGAGCCCTCATCCCCTCCCCCCTTGGACCGGCGGGGGATATCCTGGCCCAACCCCACAAGATCAACCGGCCACACAAGGCCCAAGTGACAGGACTACAAAGTCAAGAGGCCGCGAGCTAGGCCTGCAAAATGGGGGTCGGCCCAAACTCCACTGCCATGTACTCAATCAGGAGGGAAACTGAGCTCCAGTACGAGCGCATATTCAGGGCAGTATGGAAGAAGCTGGAGGCTCTACTGCGGTCCCCGCAAGAGAAAGCCTCACCTGGTAGGACGCTGCAGAGACCGAAACGAGAGGGCAAAGAGAAGGATGGGACAATCCCGGCTCTCAAAATGGACACTCTTAAGAAAGGCCCAACTACACCCAAATGGAGAAAGGCTGCGACTAGACTCAGACCGCACGAAGCCCATAAAGCTAAGGGGACTCCCACGGCACAACATCACAGACAGCCCCGCCGAAAAGCAGCAACCCAAAGCGGATTCAAGAGGGGTAAGGCCCGTCAAGACAGACCGAGAGGATGGCGGACGGTCAAGCCTAAATTGGCAGAAACCACTACACTGCCACATCGAACCGGCAACAGCCAACGACCGCACCAATCAGTCCAATTCACAGCCAGGACCCCAAGATACTCACCGAGCGAACATTTAACCCGCACCGCCTCTACTCTGCACATCCGGAATGCCGAACAAGAGTCTCAAGCACAGGGCGCGGGTCAGTACTCGGCCCACACAAGGAACCGGCTTAACAGCATTGCAGGAGAGAGACTCACCCTAGGGTACCTGTGATACCAGCTACCCACACATGCTAGTACGCTTGCGTTACTGAGCAGCCCCCCCCTGAGAGACTCACTTCGGCTGGCAGGACTGTCATTCTTCACTGCCCACCCAAACCTCTTGAAAAGACTAGGACTGCTTATTACCACATAACATACAGATGGCCTCCTGGGGTATTCCACACCATTTGCCATAGCTCAAGGCCCAAACCTGCCCACATACATCGAGCAGTTGACCTAACAAATTAACTCTCTTCTCTCTAGCATGAGGCGACTCTTGCTAACGTTGTGGAATGTTACATGGTTAACTTTACATAACCCTATAACGCTAGCGCAGATAGCATACAATGTACACAGACTCATGTCACGCTACTGTTACACACTTTAGCACATATTTCATTGACCAGCTTGTTTATAATAGGAATGTGCATTTCAGACTAAATCATTTACGTTAATCGAGAACCTATACTGCTGCAATTTTCTAACATAAAAAATGTGCCTGACTATCGATTACCACAACCTGTATTGCAAATGTTTATTACCATATCATGATGTCCCCGTTGTGGCGCACCAAGGCTTACTGTTACTTTTGTGCATAAAAAAAAATATAAACCCACCAAGTAAAACTAACCGTTACCCTATCCCACACTGTGCACCTAACGTGTGTGGGAGACTGGAGTGTCCCTTTAATGATATAAACCCACCCAGTATAACTAACTGTAACCTAACCTACACAGTGCATATAACGTGTGTGGGAGCCTCGAGTGTCCCTTTAATAATATAAACCCACTCAGTATAACTAACTGTAACTTAGCCTACACAGTGCATCTAACATGTGTGGGAGCCTTGAGTGTTCCTTTAATAACCTAAATGCACCCTGTATAACTAACTGTAACCTAACCTACACAGTGCACCTAACATGTGTGGGAGCCTGGAATGTCCAGTTAATAATATAAACCCACCCAGTATAACTAACTGTAACCTAACCTACACAGTGCATCTAACATGTGTGGGAGCCTTGAGTGTTCCTTTAATAACATAAGGCCACCCTGTAAAACTAACAGTAACCTAACCTACACAGTGCATCTAACGTGTGTGGGAGCCTGGAGTGTCCCTTTAATAATATAAACCCACCCAGTATAACTAACTGTAACCTAACCTACACAGTGCATCTAATGTGTGTGGGAGCCTGGAGTGTCCCTTTAATAATATAAATCCACCCAGTATAACTAACTGTAACCTAACCTACACAGTGCATCTAATGTGTGTGGGAGCCTGGAGTGTCCCTTTAATAATATAAACCCACCCAGTATAACTAACTGTAACCTAACCTACACAGTGCATCTAACGTGTGTGGGAGCCTGGAGTGTCCCTTTAATAATATAAACCCACCCAGTATAACTAACTGTAACCTAACCTACACAGTGCACCTAACATGTGTGGGAGCCTGGAGTGTCCCTTTAATAATATAAACCCACCCAGTATAACTAACTGTAACCTAACCTACACAGTGCATCTAACGTGTGTGGGAGCCTGGAGTGTCCCTTTAATAATATAAATCCACCCAACTAACTAACTGTAACCAAACCTACACAGTGCATCTAACGTGTGTGGGAGCCTGGAGTGTCCCTTTAATAATATAAACCCACCCAGTATAACTAACTGTAACCTAACCTACACAGTGCACCTAACGTGTGTGGGAGCCTGGAGTGTCCCTTTAATAATATAAACCCACCCAGTATAACTAACTGTAACCTAACCTACACAGTGCATCTAACATGTGTGGGAGCCTGGAGTGTCCCTTTAATAATATAAACCCACCCAGTATAACTAACTGTAACCTAACCTACACAGTGCATCTAACGTGTGTGGGAGCCTGGAGTGTCCCTTTAATAATATAAACACACCCAGTATAACTAACTGTAACCTAACCTACACAGTGCACCTAACGTGTGTGGGAGCCTGGAGTGTCCCTTTAATAATATAAACCCCCCAGATGACATCTGTTTGTAGATTAATGGGATTAATTTCTAAATAAATTTTTAGATGTTATGTACAAAATGTTCTCCAAATAAAAGGCCTAAAGTGTTATGTTTAATGACTTGTGTGCGAGAGCAGATCAATCAGTCCAAAGTTCTACAGTTCAGCAACTTTATTCACTGGTTGTTTAATAATTACTGGACTATGTCATTTAAATAACATATGTATTTATTTATTTATTTATTTATTTAAATGTTCACTTCTTTGTATCATCATGTCTTGTTTGTCTTGAAAGTACTCTCAAAGAGAAATTGCCTGTATTGAGTTTTATTCATATAGTTTTGTAGAATTATCTTCACCAATTTTTTTCTCAACAAGTTTTACCTTTGATTATTCATTGCAAAGCTCAACGAGCACCATTTACCTTGTCCGTGGTTTCAGTACTGTTTCTTAAACTGCAGAGGAACTCATTTCTTGGCAAAGGCTCCATTATCTCCCTCTGCATCTCAGCAGATTTACTGTAAATACCAAATAACAGCCTGTGTCCTTCTCCTCCACTCTGCATTATGGAAGCACCTGGGGAGAGGAGTAAAATTAGGTCTCTCGACAAACAGGCAGAACAAAGCTGACATGGATAGGATATTTGCCTTGCTATAAATATTTAGGAAGCTGGGAAGAATATCGATAAGATAAGGTATATTGTACAATCTCTAAATTGTTTTATTCTCCAAATTTTATTGTAAACAAATGTTAATTCATATATCCATGATTTTAGGTATTCTACATGTGAAACTATTATGTATCCATCTCGTATGTGCTTGCTATATACTTCCTATGCTATGTTTTTAAACTTGCTAGTGAAGAAGTTTAACAGATAGTTTATGTATAAGAGATACACATTATTCCACTAGATATTCATACTTTATATAGTAAGTATAGAAAATGACTGATCTCTGTATATGTGTGGTTGTGGATGCGTGACATCATACGGTGTGATGTTGGACAAAGCAGATCTAGACCTTTCCTGCACACTAATGCTACAAATTTGTGTGGTAGATCATAAATTTCTGCAATTATTTTATTTTGCTGATATTTTTTTATTTAATGCTGTTGTCTGTCTATTGTGCAGTCTCAGCTTGTAGTGACTGCATGTCTGCCCTTGCCTTTTATAGCAATAACAGGTGGATGTGTAAGCTTTGCAGGAAACCAGTGAAAGGACATCACACTGGATGGTCTACTACTGACAGCATTGGGGACAGCCAACGCAGGTTCCAAGACACATGACCAAAAAATGCACGATTTTATTTTAAAAAATCCAACTGACCCTCTTAATAAAATATAGTGTGAGAACATTCTAAGAGTAACAATCAGTGCTATATATGCTACTGACCTTGCAGACATGAAGGCTTTCTGTCTGCTTAGAATATTGCTGGTTATTAGACTTGGGCACACCCCAAAATTTCAGTTCTGCCAAATTATTTTTTCCAAAGATAGTACATTTTTCAGGGTATCCAAAATATTATAGGAATACATTTTGCAGTACACTGGTAGTAGCATTTTCTTCTGCCATTTGGTTCTAAGGTCAAATTAGAAAAAGTAAACAATAGTGGAAAAACCAGATGGAGCAGTCATTTTTTTAATATTTTTATATATTAAATATTTATTAAATATACACTATAAAGATTTATCCAATTTTTCCTCTATTTTCCAATCAATCATCTCTTTTATTTTTAATTTAGAATATTTCCACCACCACCAAATATATTCAGCATTGAATGTTTCTGTTAGTCCATGATTCGGCTAGATTTTGTCTCGGAATTCGGGAATTCTGCCAAACATGCAATCGGCTCAAATTTGGCTGCATTACATTTGGCCCAAAACAAGTCTTCAAATAAACTTAATATTTTTGCCGAATACTTCCAAATTACAAAGTTAGTGGCCTGGTGTTGCCATCCTCAGCTACATCTGTGGATTATTTTCTGATGTAGTTCATAATAAATCTCACCATTGTGCAACACAATATTAAGCTTTTCCTAAAGGAGGGGACACCATCTTTCATATGGCAATATATTGAGTTTTCTTTATTCCGGACAATTTTTATGTCTTTAATTTCATATGTTAATCTGCTATTTCTGTTAATAATGTAAGTCATAATCAAGAACAAAAAGTGTTTGATACAATTTTCCAGCTTTTCTCCTAGGAAATTATTTCATTGGCAATGTTCTTGGTTCACAGCATTACTTTTTATTCCCATAATCATAAGAAACCTGCTGGACACTGTCTTTATCACTATGACATTTGAACACAATCCATATGCAAAGAATTCTCATCTATACTCAGCTACATCAAACTTCGAAGACCGGACTTGCTCTTCCAGGGACCAGCAGTGCATCCAGAACCCCAGTCACTTCAGTCACTGGGTCTTGAGAAAAACAACCACTTGAAATCTGGACTGTCCGAGTCTGTCTCTAATACACTACTAAAATCCAGGAAATGTTCTACGTCAGCTTCCTATCATAAAATATGGGAAAAGTTCAGCTCCTAGACGGTGGATAAGGTAATCTCTTAGTGATACACCTAGCATGGCAGACATATTGAATTTCCTTCAAGAGGGTCTGGATAAAGGGCTTAATCTAAGCACCCTAAAAGTACAAGTTTCAGCAATTTCAGCCATGACAAAAACCAGATGGGCCCTGAATCCTCTCATGATTAATTTTTTTAGAGCAGTATTGAGGATAAAATCACCTACCAAACAGTTGGCGCCTCCTTGGGACTCTAGTACTAAATGCTCCCATTAACGTACTATTTGAGCCACTAGAAGAAATTGGAATTTATTTGCTCACCATGAAAACTCTATTCCTAATAGCAATTACATCGGCCAGAAGAGTATCAGACATCCAGGCATTAAGTTCTGAAGAACCATATACAGTGTTCCATAGGGTGGTGATGGTTACCAGGCCTGACTTTCTTCCGAAAGTAGTTTCTAGATTCCACATTCAACAGGAAATTCTTCTACCTTCATTCTTTCCAAAT